CCCGGTAGAACCCCTTCCCCCTCAGGGTCCTGCCCCCTTAGGTGTGTCCCAGGTAGACGCAGTCGAGCCTGTCGAGGTAGCTGTTGACTCTGGTACTGCTAGGGGTGCTGAGCCTGCGGGTGCGGGGTCTGGGGGTGCTAAGCCTGGGGGTGCTGAGTCTGGGGGTGCTGAGCCTGGGGGTGCTGAGCCTGTGGGTGCTGAGTCTGGGGGTGCTGAGCCTGGGGGTGCTGAGACTGGGGGTGCGGAGCCTGAGGGTGCTGGGCCTGCTCGTGTGGAGTCTGGCGGTACTGGGTCTGGAGGTCTTTCGGGTGCTTCGTCCCGGCGGGAGCTACCCTTTCCACACGAGCTGCGCGAGTGGTTTGCTCGGCGCTGGAGCCGTGCTGCTGGAGCTGGAGGTGCTGCTGGAGTTGGAGGTTCTACTGCTGCTGAGGGTGCTGGTGCCACGGGTCCCGGAGGTGCTCGTACTGGAGGTACTGGAGCTGCTGGGCCTGGGGGTGCTCCTTGTGCTGGAGCTGCTGGCGGTGCTGGAGCTTGCGGTGCTGCTGGGGTAGGTGCTGCTGGAGCTGCTGGAGCTGGAGCTGTTGCATCTTCCGGTGGTCCGGCTGGAGCTGGAGCTGCTGGGGGTGTTGGCGCTGGAGGTGCTGCTGGCGCTGGTGCTTCTGAGGATGCTGGAGTTGGCGCTGCTGCAGCTGGGGGTGCTACTGGTGCTGGTGCTGCCGCTGGGGGTGTTGGTGCTGTCCCTGGTGGTTCTGGGGGCGCTGCGCGGCCGCGGCCGTACTTCGTTCCGCTCCTCGAGCAGGTTCTTCGTCTCCCGCCTTCTGCTGGTCCTGGTCCTTCCTTCGAGTGTCCGCCATCTGTCCAGTCTGAGTCACAGTTACAGCCCGCCTCCCCACTACCTGCTCCTTCTCCCTACACTGGTCCATCTCGTCCTGCGTCGCCTGTTCGTGCTGCTCACACTAGTCGTCGTGTTCCGCGTCCGCGTCCTCCTGCGGTCCCGGGCACGCACCAGATGGCACTGCGTCCTTCCACTGCTCCACTGCGTGTCCCCTTGCCGTCTCCTCCAAAGTCCTCTCTTCCTGCCCTTGCTGACCCGGAGTCTGACTCTCTTCGTGCTGCCAGTCCTACTGTCACGCGTCCTTTGAGTCCACTGCTGCGTCTGCCCTAGTTGCTGAGCTTGTCGACTTCGCTGCTTGCTGTCGTCTAGACTACGCTGCTAGTCTTGTTGCCGAGTCTCGGTCTGTCTGTCCTCCGTCCGTCGGGGGTGAGTGTGCTCTTAGCACGGACGTCCTTGAGGACAGGCAGGAGGAGTTCCAGTGTTTTGCTGCTGCTTTACCTCAGCTCGTGTCCATGTTGATTGCCCCTGAGGGAGACCCGGATGCACCAGACATCCCGACTCCGCGCTCTTACGCAGAGGCGATAGAGGGTCCCTACTCCTCTCAGTGGCAGTCAGCCATGGACGCAGAGATGGCTTCCTGGAAGTCCACAGGCACCTACGTCGACGAGGTTCCCCCACCTGGGGCGAACATCGTCAGTGGCATGTGGATTTTCAGGGTGAAGCGGCCGCCGGGTTCTCCGCCTGTCTTCAAGGGGCGTTACGTGGCTCGAGGCTTCAGTCAACGGCAGGGAGTTGACTACTTTCAGACCTTCTCTCCCACCCCGAAGATGACCACTCTTCGGGTGCTGCTGCACATAGCCGCTCAGCGCGACTACGAGCTTCACTCTCTTCACTTCAGCATTGCTTTCCTGCAGGGCAGCCTGCACGAGGAGATCTGGCTGCGCCGCCCACCTGGCTTCACTGGGTCGTTTCCTCCTGGTACCCAGTGAAGCCTCCGGCGGCCAGTCTACGGTCTCCGCCAGGCGCCCCGTGAGTGGCACGACACACTGAGGACTACACTTGCGGCTCTTGGGTTTGCTCCTTCTACTGCCGACCCGTCGCTGTTTCTATGCACCGACACCTCTTTGCCGCCATTCTACATCCTCGTGTACGTCGAGGACTTGGTCTTTGCTACTGCTGACACTGCTGGACTCGCCCACGTGAAGTCCGAGCTGCAGAAGTGACACACGTGCACAGACCTGGGTGAACTGCGCAGCTACCTTGGCTTGCAGATCACCCGGGATAGAGCACAGCGCACCATTACCATGACTCAGTCATACATGGTGCAGCAGGTCCTTCAGCGCTTCGACTTCACGTACTCCTCGCCTCAGGCCACTCCTCTGTCTACTCGCCACTCGCTCTCAGCTCTGCCTTCGGATGAGTCCGTAGAGCCGAGTGGCCCGTACACAGAGATTGTTGGCTGCCTCATGTACCTGATGACCTGCACACGACCTGACCTAGCATACCCTCTTAGCATCTTGGCACGCTATGTTGCTCCTGGGAGACACAGACCTGAGCACATGGCTGCAGCGAAGAGGGTGTTGCGCTACTTGTGCAGTACGTCGGGCATGGGGCTCGTGCTTGGAGGGCGGCGTCGAGTGGTCCTCACTGGTCACGCAGACCCTTCTTGGGCTGACGACGAGGCTACGCAGCGGTCGTCACAAGGTTACACCTTCAGCCTTGGTTCCGGCTCTGTTTCGTGGCGGTCTACCCGCTCGTCTTCTGTTCTCGGCTCCAGCTGTGAGGCTGAGATCTACGCAGGGGCCATGGCTGCACAGGAGTTACGCTGGCTCACCTACCTGCTGACTGACCTAGGAGAGCCGCCTCGTTCTCCTCCAGTTCTGTACGTAGACAACAAGGCCATGCTGGCCTTGTGTCGGGAGCACAGACTGGAGCACAGAACGAAGCACATTGCTCTTCGCTACTTCCTTGCTCGTGAGCTGCAGCAGTGTGGTCAGCTGCGCCTTGCTTACGTGGCCCCTCGGGCCAACACTGCTGATATCTTTACCAAGGCACTTCAGCCTTGTGATCATCAGCGCTTTTGTACGATGCTAGGTCTTGTGCCTACTTGGCCTCACTTGCTCACTTCTTGACCTTGCTTGTACTGTGATCTATCTATACCTGCACTTGCTTGTTTACCTTGATATATAATCCTGCATGTGAACTGGCCTTGTGGCCTTGAACTTGTGCTCGGAATGTGTGGTGACGTTGTGATCCATCCTGAGCTTGCCTTGCTTGACTGGTCTTGTGACCCCTTGTTCTCCCCCACTTTGCCTATGGGGGTGTGTCAAACATTTATGCTATAGTCTTTCTAAGCTGTAGTGGGGTAGACAGTATGGGATACAGTTTTCTAGGGTTACATATTTGTACCCAACTCATTTCCTAGTCCATCATTCCTCATTATTTCACATACTTCGCATCCCTACTCAGCACGTACACCACTGTTCCCGCCAACAACTCTCAACAGTGCATCGTTACCAACGCGAAACACGCCCCGACTACTGTTCCCGCCACTGTTCACGACGCGACCCAACCTCACGGTTCGGTTGGTAACCCACGCTCCGGACCTCCGCCTCGACAATTCCCAGCCTCGGCGTTAGGCCTGTAGCGCAACCCAATTTCACACATTACCGTTACCACTGTAGCTTCGCTATATATTATTCGCTCATGCTTTCGCTCAATGAAGATCTCAGCGGAATTGGGTCGTCAAGCCTGACGACCTGTGACGACCTGACGACCTGCTGCCCCAGGCAGAAAAAAACAGAAACCCTATCGGATGGCATGCCATCCGAGGGAGGCATCAACCCTAAATCCATGCCTTTCCGTGTTTAGGGTTGATGCCTCCCTGACCGGATGCATGCCCGAATGGGTTTTATTTTTTTTGCCCGCGGGCAACGAGCTCCCTCGGGCGACGACCTGATTCCGCTGAGCTATTTTCGGCTGTACTGTTTTGCTTCAATCGCTCGCTCGCTCAATTGCACTCGTAACACAAGCCCGCGTTACACTTTGCCTTCTCTCGTATTGTCTTCATCATTTGCCCTTTCAGGGCGGGTCGAGCGCGTACGTTTTCGGTTGCACTACAGTTCATCCTGTGCGATAGTCTTATTGCCTCGTGGTGCAAAGCGGTGAAGATTAATAACCGCTGTACACCAGCTGATATCATCTCGAACGACGGATGAACTGTAAAGTACCTGTAAACGTACGCACTGGACCCGCCCTTAGCGAAATCCTCAATACCCTCCACTGCACTTGTAACAGAGATACGCGAATGTCAGACGTGAGCTGATGGACGACCTCACTTCATTCATTTGGAGGGGCCTGTTCTGATTTAGAAAAAGCTCCACACTCGGTGTGAATAAGAGGCCTCTGCCTGAAACCTACTGTGCTTGTCACACACGGCGGAAAAAAAACCCATGCGTGCGAGGAGGGAATGGGTTTGCAAAAATTGCGAGGTCTTGCGCGCAGCGCCTTGCCTATCGTGGGGTCGCCTCGATTCGCCACGGCAGGGGCTTTCGTGTGCGTGCGAACGACTTTCCTTCCAGACTTGCATCGAACCAACAACGAACAGGCACTGTTTGTTGGCTTGGCGCCCTTCCCTCTTGGGCAACATGAATGGAAAACCAAGCAGCTGGAAAATACAACTGCACGCATTTGTTCAGGCCATGGTTATGGCTGGGAGGGTAGGTGGGATGTAAGCAGCTCTGCGCTGCGAGGGCGCGAGCGAACGAGAATTATATAGAGATATAGAGAGATATAGAGAGATACTGGGAGGTTGTAAAGAGAGCGAGAGGAAGTGGTACAAAGAGAGAAGCAGACAGCGATTAGAAAGAAAGGCAGCAGCATTCGCATGTGCGCCGCGCACACGATACTGGGTCGGACGGAGCTGGCCTGGCCTTATGCGGCGGGTCGATTCAAGCCCGCGGGCCTCATTAATGCTGCAGTCGTTCGTGCTATTGCCGACGTGCTAGACTTAATAGGATACGCGATCAACCAGTAGTGAAGCCGCCAGTTGGTAGGTTGAAGCCGTTCGGACAAAAAGAGCTGGTTTGCGTGCCGCGTCGTGCTACGAACGCATTAAAATCAAGCGTTCCTAACGCAAGGTCGAATCGTTTAGGGGCGCGTCGCAATGCTGCGCATCACGACGAGCGCCGATCGCGGCGGCAAGGGCGGAACAGACGCGACAGACGACGGGGCTGCCACCTCCCCCTCCCCGTCGCTTTCCCCCTCGCCTTCCCCTTTATCCCCCGCGCTTTCCCCTTTCTCCCCCACGCCTCCGCCGTTCTCCCCGTCGTCCGCGTCCGCGCAAATCAGCCGGCGCCGGCTGCACATGAGCTACGACTTCGACGGGGAGAGCAGCAGCGGCGGGGAGGGCGGCGCAGGCGGAAGCGGAAGCGCGCGTCGAGTGCGGCAGGGGCACCGCAGCTTCTCCCACCGCTCCGGAGTGCTCTCCCCTCCCGATACTTCCTCCTTAGGATCGCCCGCCCCCGCCGCCAGGCCCGCCAGTCCCCTGGGCAGTCCGCGCAGAAGCGCGATTGGGGGGCTTGGCGCGCTTGTAGAGGGTGGGGGCGGGGAGGCGGGATTGGCGCTCAGGCCCTTGCGGCTGGGGAAGGGGAGTCCAGGCGGGGGCGCCGCAGTCGGACCTGCCGAAAGGTCAGTGGTGAGGAGGGTCGGCGGAGACGGGGGAACAGGCGCAGAGCTGCGTGATAGCGGTGGCGCGGGGGAAGAGAGCCGGCGGAGTGGGGCGGGTTTAGGTAGTGAGGCTAGGGTGGGGGAGGAAGGGAGCGAGGTGGGCGCAGTCGGTGCCAGGGGCGAGGCTGCGCGGAGTGATGTGCTCGCGGGGGCGCAAGAGGCGCGGGCGCAAGGTCAAGCGAAAGAGCAAGCGCGTGACGGGACAGCAGCAGCGGCAGCAGGCGCCCTCGGAACGCCCAAGTCCGCCCCCGCGTCCCCCAGCTGGCTGGGCGGGTGGGCGGGCCTGCTGCTGGGCGCAGGCGGGGGGGAGGCGGGCGTGGCGGAAGAGGGGAAGGGGGAGGCGGGCAAGGGGCAGGATGGTGCAGGTAGAGCGGGCGGGCTGAGCTTGCTGTCCCCGTTCGCGTGGAAGGGAGGCGGGATGTGGGGGGACGGCGGTAAGGGGAAGGGAGGGGAGGGGACGGGGGAAGGGGATGGGACGAAGCAGGGGGAGGGAAGAGCGGGCGGTGAGGAGAAGGCAGCAGGCGGGGAGAATGAAGGAGGGGGCATGGGAGAGGCGCAGGGCTGGGGGGGACAGGAGCGCGCAGGGGAGGGAGACGAGCGGGAAGCAGAGGAAGGGAGGAAAGAGGAAGCAGGGGAGGCGGAACGGGAAGGCGTGAGGAATGGGGAAGGGGAAGAAGATGAGGAGCGTGCTTTGGAAAGAGGGGCGAGCAGTGGTGATGCGCGGAGCAGGAGCGTGGAGGGCAGGGGCCAAGGGAAGGGAGCGGCTGACCATGACAGTGACTTTGCGTTCCGAGCAGCGCAGTGGGGCGACGGTGGGGGTGGGCTACGGGATGGGGGTGTGGGGGTGGTGGCGCAGGATGGTGGGGTGATGCGGGATGGTGGGGTGTTACGGGATGGTATGGGGATGGATAATGTTTATAATCCAAATACGGATGACTCTGATAGCGAGGATATATGGAGAAGTTGCAAAACAGAGCTAGGTGAACACGAGAAGGTGGATAGCGATGATAGTGGCAGCAGCGAGCAAGCTAGTAACGAGAATAGAGGGAACGTTGAGGCTCATAGCGATGGCAGTGGGCTGCTTGAGGGAGCCAATAGTGAGGACGCTGGTAATGAGGAAGCTAGTAGTGAGGACAGTGAGAGTGACGAGACTAGTATGACGGATGCTGAAAGTGAGGTGGGAAGTAGTGAGAGTGATAGTGAGAGTAAGAGTAAGAGTGAGATCAAGAGTAAGAGTGACAGTGACAGTGAGAGTGAGGGTGAGAGTGAGAGTGAGGCTAAGGTTAAGAGTAAGATTGAGAGTAAGAGCAAGAGTGAGAGTGAGAGTGAGAGTGAGGGTGAGAGTGACAATGAGAGTAAGAGTAAGATTAAGCATGAGAGTGAAAGTGAAAATAAGAGTGAGAGTGAGAGTGAAACTAGGAATGAGAGTGAGAGTAAGATTAAGGGTACGAGGGAGAGGGAGAGTGAGGGTGAGAGTGAGAGTGAGAGTGGGAGTGAAATTGAGAGTGAGAGTAAGAGTAAGAGTAAGAGTAAGAGTAAGAGTAAGGGTACAAGTAAGAGTGGGAGTGAGAGTGAGAGTGAGAGTGAAAGTGAGAATAAGAGTAAGAGTACGAGTACGAGTGAGAGTGAGAGTGAGGGTGAGAGTGAGAGTGATAGTAAGAATAAGAGTAAGAGTAAGGGTAAGAATGACAGTGAGAGGGAAAATAAGAGCGAGAGTGAGAGTGAAACCGAGAGTGGGAGTGAGAGTGAAACCGAGAGTGGGAGTGAGAATGAAACAAAGAGTGAAAGTGAGAGTAAAATTAAGAGTAAGAGTGAGAGTGAGAGTGAAACCGAGAGTGAGAGAAGGGAGCAAAGGGAGCAAGACGGGGGGCATGAAGGGTGTGGGGAGAGTGAGGGAGCAGTGGATGGGGACGGGCGGGCAGGGCTTGATGGCGAGAAGGGTGGGAGAGAGCTGGCTGCGGGGGAGGAACGAGAGGAAGAGGAGGAAAGCGAGGACGATGAACGGACGGAGCAAGAGGAGGAGACAGAAGCACAGGGCGCGGCGAGGAAAGGGGAGGCGGGCGATGAGGAGAGTGGGGAGGAAGGAGGGGAGAAGGTAGAGAGTACTAGAGCCCCTGGTGCTTTAGGTGGTCTGGTTGGTGCTAGTATTGGTGCTGATGGTGGTGGTGGTGAGGAAGGGGGGAATTCTAGGACAAACGATAGTGAGAACAGCAGGGCAGGGGGTGGCAGTGTCAGGGACGGGTGTGAGGAAAGGAGGGGAGAGGGTGAGGAGAGAGGGGGTAGACTCGAGGAGGAACAGCAGGAGAGTGAGGAGGCAGGGGAGAAAGTCGAGGAGGGAGGGACGGAGAGTGAGGAGAGGGGGGAGAGGGAGGAGAGGGAGGAGAGGGAGGAGAGGGAGGAGAGGGAGGAGAGGGAGGAGAGGGAGGAAAGGGAGGAGAGGGAGGAGAGGGAGGAGAGGGAGGAGAGGGAGGAGAGGGAGGAGAGGGAGGAGAGGGAGGAGAGGGAGGAGAGGGAGGAGAGGGAGGAGAGGGAGGAGGGGGAGGAGAGGGAGGAGAGGGAGGAGAGGGAGGAGAGGGAGGAGAGGGAGGAAAGGGAGGAGAGGGAGGAGAGGGAGGAGAGGGAGGAGAGGGAGGAGAGGGAGGAGCAGTGGGTGGAACCCGTGGGTGGCGGGAACGAGGCAACAGCGACTGGAGTGAGGGTTGCTGTGGGTGGTGCTGGTGCGCAGATACAGAGTGAGAGTGAACGCAGTGAGAGTGAGAGCAGTGAGAGTGAGAGCAGTGAGAGTGAGAGTGAGGGTGAGGAAAAGGAGAGGGAGAAAGAAGGTGAGAGTGAGGGGAGTGAGGGAGAGAGTGACAATGAGGGGACTCAGGGAGAGAGTGAGAGTGAGAGGGAGGGTGAGAGTGAGAGGGACGAGGGAATGGAAGGGCAAGTAGAGTGTGAGAGAGAGGGGTGTTTGAAGGGTGTTGAAGCAGCACCACCGGTGAAGGCTGCTGTGGGTGTTGTGGAGGGGGAAGAGGGTGGGGGCAGTGAGAGTGAGGGGTCTGGGAGTAAGAGTGAGAAAAAGAGTGCGGAGGGAGGGGAAGGGAAGGTGGAGCATGGAAAGCAGGAGGAAGAGCCTTGGGCTGATGTTGACGCCACAACAGCGGCTGCACCGATGGGTGGAGTGGGTGGTGTGGAGCGGGAAGAGAGTGGGGGGAGTGAGAGTGAGAGTGAGGGTACTGAGAGGGATAGTGGGAGTGAGAGCGAGAGTGAGAATGAGGAGACTAAGGTTGGGGAGATTGAGAATAAAGAGAGTGGAAGTAAGTTGAGCGGGAGTGAGGGAAGTGAGAGTGAGGAGAGTGAGAGTGAGAGTGAGGGAGAGGAGGGGCAGGAAGGGCAGGTAGAGCATGAGAAAGAGGGGACCTTAAAGGGTGCTGGAGCGACCACACCAGCTGCAGCGGTGGGTGGGGATCAGGAACAGAGAGAGGGGAGCGAGAGCGAGAGCGAGAGTGAGGAGAGTGAGAGTGGGGTTGAGGGTGAGAGAGAGGAGGGGCAGGAAGGGCAGGTGGAGTATGAGGAGGGGCAGGAAGGGCAGGTGGAGTATGAGGAGGGGTCCTTAAAGGGTGTTGAAGCGACAGCGCCAGCTGCACTGTTGGCTGCTGCTGTGGGTGGTGTGGAGCAGGAACAGAGTGAGGGGAGCGAGGGTGAGAGTGAGAGTGAGAGTGAGAGTGATATTGAGAGTGTGGAAGAAGGGGACGGGAAGGTGGAGCATGGGAAGGAGGGGGAGGGGCTCTTGAACGGTGTTGAAATCACAGCAGCAGCTGCACCGATGGTTGCTTTGTGTGGTGTGGAGCAGGAACAGAGTGAGGGGAGTGAAAGTGAGAGTGAGATGGAAGGTGAGAGGGAGAGGGAGAGTGAAACTGAGGAGACTAAGGTTCCGGAGATTGAGAATAAGGAGAGTGGGAGTATGTTGAGCGAGAGTGAGGGAAGTGAGAGTGAGGAGAGTGGAAGTGAGAGTGAGAGGGAGAGCGAGAGGGGGACTGAAAGTGAGAGTGAGAGTGAGAGTGGGAGTGAGAGTGAGAGTGAAGTGCTGGTGGAGCATGGGCAGGAGGGGACGTTGGATGGTATGGAGAGCTCAGCTCCCCCTTCTGGATCGATGGCTGCTGCTGTGGGTGGTAAGGGGCAGGGACAGAGTGAGGGGAGCGAGAGTGAGAGTGACAGCGACGATGAGGACGGAGTGGAGGGGCAGGTAAAGTGCGGTACGGAGGGGTGCTTAGATGACGATGAAGTGGCAGCGCAAGCTGCACCGGCGGCTGCTGCCGTGGGTGGTGTGGGTGAGGAACAGAGTGAAGGGCGTGATAGTGAGAGTGAATACAGAGGTGAGAACGTAATGGAGGCGCAGGTAGAGAGCAGTTCTGAGCGGTGCTTGGATGATGATGCAGCAGCAGCGCCAGCTGCACTGGTGGCTGCTTCTGTGGGTGGTGTGGGGCAGGGACAGGGTGAGGGGCGTGAGAGCGAGGAGACCAAGGGTGGGGAGATTAAGGACAAGGAGAGTGCGAGTAAGTTGGGCCAGAGTGAGGGACGTGAGAGTGAGGAGAGTGAGAGTGAGAGTGTAGAGAGTGAGAGTGAGAATGGGAGTGTGAGTGAAGAAAGCGAGAGTCAGAGTGAGAGAGAGGAGAGTGCGAATGAGAGTGAGAGAGAAGAGAGTGGGATTGAAAGCAAGAAGGAGGAGAGTGGGAGTGAGGGAAGTGGAGAGAGACAAGGGGATGCAGGGGAGATGATTGAACAGGAGAAGGAAGGTGGGGGGCACAATAGCGGGTGGGGTGAGACGGACGGTGGGAGTGAGACTGGGAGTGAGAGTGAGAGTGAGAATGTGAGCGAGGATGAGAGTGAGACTGATAGTCATGGAGAACATGTAAGGAGGCTGGTTGATGCTGTTGCTGCTGCTGCTGTTGATGCCGCTGCTGCTGCTGATGCTGTTGCTGCTGCCGCTGCAGCTGTTGTTACTGCTGCTGCGGCAGCTGCCGCGGCTGATGCCGATGCTGATGCTGCTGCTGGTGCTTATGCTGGTGCTGATGCTGATGCTGCTGCTGCTGCTGCTGCTGCTGCTGCTGCTGCTGCTGCTGCTGCTGCTGTTGGTGCTGATTTTGCTGCTGGTGCTGGTGCTGATGCTGATGCTGCTGCTGGTGCTGATGCTGATGCTGGTGCTGGTGCTGATGCTGATGCTGATGCTGCTGCTGGTGCTGGTGCTGTTGCTGATGCTGCTGCTGCTGCTGGTGCTGCTGCTGCTGCTGCTGCTGCTGCTGATGCTGCACCTGATACTTCCTGGGCTGCCTCTGCTGCTGCATCAGGTGTTGAGGAAGGGCAAGAACTGGAACAGGCAGGTGAAGGGCCGGAGTTGGAACAGGCAGGTGAAGCACACGGGAAGGAGAGCAGCGAGGAGGACGGTGAGTGTGAGCATGGCAGCTCAACTCAATTTGACGTTCATGCCACTCCAGCTGCCAGCCATGCCACCTGCAGGGCTGAAGTACCAGAGAGTGCAGCAGTGCTGGAAGTGCTGAGTCCAGTCTTTGCTGCTGCGCCGCACAGCAGACCCGCCCTGCAGGCTCCCTGGGACGACGATGACGGCGATGGTGAGAGTGCTCGTGGCCTGGTTGCAGCTGTGGATGCAGCGGGTGAGGGGGAGCAGCATAGGGGGAGGAACGGGGGTAGGGAGGGTGCGGGGGCAGTGCAGGACATGTTTGTAGCAGAGGAGCTGGCGGCTGAGGGCGTGGAGGAGGGGAGTGAGGTGGTGGAGAGTGAGGGAGTGGGGACAGCAGTGGGGGGTAAAGTAATGAGGGCGGCAGTGGAGAGTGATAAAGGGAGGGCGGCAGCTGCAGTGCAGGACATGTTTGTGGCAGACGAACTGGCGGCTGTGGGCGAGGAGGAGGAAGGGAGTGGGGAAGTGGAGGAGAGTGAGGGAGAGAAGGGGTCGGCAACGAATGAGGGAGTGGGGGCGGCATTGCAGGGTGATGCAGCGAGGGTGGCAGTGCAGGATATGTTTGTGGCGGACGAGGTGGCTGCTCTGGAGGTGCAGAAAGGGAGCAGGGAAGTGGAGAGCGAGGGAGTGCGGGCGGCTGCAGTGGAGGGTGATGGAGGGAAGGCGGCAGTGCAGGATATGTTTGTGGTGGACGAGTTAGTTGCTCTGGGTGCAGCGGAAGTGAGCAGGGAAGTGGAGAGCGAGGGGGAAAAGATGGCACATGCGAGTGAAGGGGTATGGGCAGTAGGGACGGGTGATAGAGTGAGGGCGGCAGTGGGGAGTGATGAAGGGAGCACCGCAATGCAGGACATGTTTGTGGGCGGGGAACTGATTACCCTGGGCATGGAAGTACAAAGCAGGGCGGTAGAGAGGGATGAAGAGAGGCGGGCAGTAAAGAATCAGGGAGTGGGTACGGCAGTGGAGGAGGGAAATGCAGTAAGGGGGCCAGGGCAGGACATGTTTGTGGCGGGGGAACTTTCTGGCCTGGGGGTGGAGGACGGGAGTGGGACCGTGGAGAGGGATGGAGAGGAATGGGCGGTGCAGCACGAGGGAGTGAGAATGCGAGTGGCGAGTGAGAGTGAGAGAGGCGAGAAGCAGGACATGTTTGTGGAGGGCGAGCTGGTTGCCCTGGGCGTGGAGGAGGAAGGGGGTGTGAAAGTGGAGAGCGAGGGAGAGAAGAGGGCAGGGGAGAGGGCGGCAGGGCAGGACATGTTTGTGGCGGGGGAGCTGGTTGCTCTAGGCGTGGAGGAAGGGAGTGGGAAAATGGAGAATGAGGGAGTGGGGGCAGCAGTGGCGAGTGGTGGAGGGAAGGCGGCAGTGCAGGATATGTTTGTGGAGGGGGAGCTTGCTGGGCTGGGCGTGGAGGAAGAAAGTGGGCCAGTGAAGATGGAGGGGGAGAAGGACGCAGTACGGACTGAGGGGCTGAGGGCGGTAGTGGGGAGTGATGCAGGGTGGCTGGCAGTGGGGAGTGCTGAAGAGAGGGAGGCGGTGCAGGACATGTTTGTGGAGGGGGAGCTTGCTGGGCTGGGCGTGGACCGGGAGGGTGGGGAGATGGAGAGGCATGACGGGGTGGGGGTGTCAGGCAGAGAGGTGGGGGTGGAGGGGCATACAACCGCACAACCGGTATCGCCTGCTGCTGCCGCTGTGGCTGCCGCAGCTGCTGCTTCCACTGCTGCAGCTGCTGCCTCTGTTCTTCCCATTCTGGCCAGGCCCCACATCCCCCACGCCCCCCACAGCCACTTCCCCCACGCCCCCCACAGCCACGTCCCCCACGCCCCCCACAGCCACATCCCCCACGCCCCCCACAGCCACGTCCCCCACGCCCCCCACAGCCACATCCCCCACGCCCCCCACAGCCACGTCCCCCACGCCCCCCACAGCCACATCCCCCACGCCCCCCACAGCCACGTCCCCCACGCCCCCCACAGCCACGTCCCCCACGCCCCGCACGCGCCCCACACCCCCCTCAGCCCCCCCACGACGCCCAAGAGCGGTGTGAGTCCGAACGCGCGGCAGCGCATGCAGCGGGCGGCGAGGAAGCTGCAGTTCGTCACGTTCCTGCGCTCGCACATGGGGGGGAAGGCGGAGGGCGGGGCTGGTGGGACACACGTGGGGAACATGGCGGAGGGTGGGGCGCACGTGGGGGGAAGGGTGGAGGGTGAGGCGCAGGTGGGGGGAAGAGCGGAGGGTGAGGCAGGTGGTGCGCAGGTGGGAGGCAGGGCGGAGCATAGGACTGATGAGGAGCGACGGAATGACCTTGAAGTCAAACTGGAGAGAGAAGCGAGGGTGGGTTGGGACGGCCCTGTGGGTGGTGAGGGGGAGAGGTTGGTGGTTGGTGAGAGCACAGCGAGTGTGATGGAGGCAATGCAGCGTGCTGATGGTTCTCTGGGTGGTGGGGCGGACAGCTCGATAGGTGTTGGCGGCACAGCACGTGTTGAGGATGCGGTTGAGCGAGGGGGAAGGCTGTCTCCGGTTGGAGATGCACTGGAGTTGCGGGAGGGGGATAGGGAGGAGATGGGGGCCGAGGCGGCAAGGGGAGGGAGAGAGGGGTTGGAGAGTGAAGGGGATCGGGAAGAGGGAGAAATGGAGGAGAGGAAAGAAGGAAGTGCAGAAGGAGAAGGTGGAGAGAGGGAGGAGGGAGAAGGGAGGGAAGAGGAAAGAGAGGGGAGAGAAGAGGTGGGAGAGGGGAGGAAGGAGGAGGGAGAGGGGAGGGACGACGAGGGAGATGGGAGGAAAGGGGAGGGACTGGAGAAAGAGAGTGAAGGGAAAGGGGAAGTGGGAGGGGAGAGGGAGAGTAAAACGCGGAAAGAAGAGGATGAAGGCAAGGTGAGTGAAGTGGATGGAGAGACTTGGGAGTGTGAGGTGGAGGAAAGAGAGAAATATGAGGAGGAGGATTCAAGGGATGAGCAGGCAGGGGGCAATGGTGTGTGGAGCAAGGGAGAGGAGGCAGGGAGTGAGAGGCATGTGACAGAAAATTCAAGGGCAAGTGAGAGACGGCAGGTGGAACAGTACATTGAGAGCGGTGAGGCGGTGCTACAGGCGGTGCTACAGGCGGAGGAGGGGAGTGAGAAGAAGCAAGAGGTAGAGAAGGAAGGGAGTGGTTCGCCTTGTGCCCCCGACTCCCCTGCATCCATTCCGGAGTCTCCCACCTCTGGCGTTGCTGCCTCCAGCATTCCGCCTGCCCTCCCTCCCCCTCCTCCTGCAGTGGCTGACTTGAGGGTTGACGAGAGCGAGGGGGGGAAGAGTGAAGAAGAGGGAGAGAGGGCGGAGAGGGAAGAGGAGGGAGGGGAAGGAGAGAAGGGGGAGAGTGAAGAGGAGGGAGAGAAGGGGGAGAGTGAAGAGGAGGGCGAGGAGGGAGAAAAAGGGGATAGTGAAGAGGAGGGAGAGGAGGGAGAGAAGGGGCAGAGTAAAGAGGGAGAGTTGGTGCGACATGAGGAGGGGAGTGCAATTGGGGATGAGGCGGGAGAGGGTGTTGGTGGTGTGGTTGACCAGGGACTGGGTAAAGGGGGCGAGGAGTGGGAGGGACAGGCGGGTAAAGTGGGGCATGTGGAGAGGCGGGCGCCGGCAGAGGATGACGCGAGGCATGATAGCAGCAGCGTCAGTAGCACAGCAGGAGCAGCAGCAGTGACGGCAGCAGCAGCCGCAGCAGCAGCAGTGGCGGCAGCAGCAGCAGCAGCAGCTGGAGTGGTGCCCGGGGCACTGGAGCCTCTGCAATCTGCTGTCAAGGTGAGTGTGGTGGGGGACTGACAAGGTGAGTGTGAGTGTGGGGACTGACAAGGTGAGTGTGAGTGTGGGGACTGCACCTGCCCTCTGCTCCCCCTGCGCCCTCATTGCCGCTCTTGTCTCGTACCCAAAACCCATAAGCTCGCCCTTACTAGCTGTTGCGCTGCAAGCAAGCTGCCCGCAAAGCCCATAAGGGCAAGCTCGCTGTGCTTGAAACGGTCGCCTGTCGGAGACGCCCCTAACCACCGCTGCTTGCACACGTGGAAGTGGAACGGTCGTCCCTTTGCCACTCGTATTGTTTCGAGACGTTCCTCACAATCGTTCCCATTTCTCGTCCATCTGTTTATTCTGCTCCCCCGCAGCCTATGCGTCTCTCGACTTGCTATTTCTCACACCCCCTACTGCCCCTTTCATCCCCATTCGCCCCTTCCTCCCAGTTGCCCGCCTGGCAGCCGGTCGACCAATCAGAAGACGCCGCCACCTCACACACTTCCGGTGGTGGAGGCATCTCCTCTCCCACCAGCACCGATGCTGCTCCTCATGCCGAGTCACCCTGTAACGAGGACGCCACATCCTCATCTCTCTCCCCTGATGCTACATCCCCGTCTGTCTCCCTCAGCTCTCCCACATTCATTACTGCGCCTCCTGCCACCTCCTCCTCTCTCCTTGCAGATACCAACTCCCCCCATCACCCTAACCCTGCATCCCCCCGTTCCCCCACCCCCACCTCCCCTCATCTGCCCACCTCTGGCTCTCCTCGTGTCAATGAAGCGGGGTCCCCCACTTCAGTCCCCGACTCCCCCACCTTTGGACTCACTAGTAGTACCCCTGTCATTGCGAACCCTACTTCTGCTGCTCCGGCTGCTGTGGCTGCTGCTGCCGTTCTGGGTGACCCGAGCACGGACTCGCCCACATTCACCCCGGATTCACCAACCTTCGGGTTCGCTGCCCCCAGCGTCGCGAGCGCGGGAGCACATGCTTCTGCTGCCACTGCTGCCAGTGCTGCCAGTACTGCCAGTGCTGCCAGTGCTGCCGCTGCCGCTGCTGCTGGCGGGTGGGGGAGTGTCTCTGCAGCGGCTGCAGGCGCCCTCGGCGATTCCTCCCCTCCCACTGTGGATTTCTGGCGTGCCGACTCTCTTGACTCTGTTGACTCTGCCGACTCGACTGCTCTCGATCACGATGCTCTTGATGGGCGTGAGTATGATGCCCCCAGCGCTGCCAAAGCCCACACAGAGGATGCTGCAGCTGGAGAACTGCTAGCAGGAGTGGCACTGCAGGAGGCAGAGCAGGGTGGGAAGCAGGAGGCAGAGCAGGCGGGGCAGCAGGAGGAGGTAGAGCAAGCGGGGCAGGGGGGCGAGCGAGTGGACTGCCTGATTGAGGACTCGGTGCACTCCATGCTCTTTGGGGTCAGCTCCTTCTCTATCACTATCCTCCCCTACCACCCCCCCTCCACCACCCTCCCTCCACCAGCCTCCCCGATAATTTTTTGTTCCTGCAACTGTGCAGCCCAATCTCGTTGCCACTATTTCCTCTTCTGCATGCCACACCCCTCCCATCGTCCGTCCTGTCTCTCCCTGCCCCTCCTCGCCCCCGCTACAGGCTGAAGGTGCCTCCGGAGCTTCAACTCCAGTCACTTCACAACGTGAGCAACGCCTGCCCTCTTGCCCATACCCTCTTCCCTCATCTCCCTTCACCTCTCATCCTCCCGTCCTTACATTTCCTCCATCAGTTCCTCTTCGACTTGCCTCCTTCCTTCCACTTCTCCTCCAATCTGCTTCTAATATTTTTTTCCCTCCCTGTGCCACGCCTTAATCATGCCATGTGCATGCCTGCGTGTGCACGTGCGTGCGTGCGTGCATGTGTGTTTTCTGTGTGTATGTGTGTGTTGGTGTGCATCTTTGAATGTGTGTGTGTTTTGGAGCATGGGTGTGTGTGTGTGTGTGTGTGTGTGTGTGTGTGTGTGTGTGTGTGTCTGTGCATGCGTGATCGGTGTATCTATGCATGTGTATGTGCGTGCATGTGGTGCAACGAGCAGCAGCATCACCATCACCCCTGTCAACGCACACCGACACCGCCCTGGCGTCCCTGGCGTCTATCTTCGACCGCCACATGGAGGAGCGCGAGAGAGCAGGGGACCCACCTGTCATTGCCGCGCTCTCCTCGCCCTCCTCCTGCTCCACCTCGCCCTCTCCCTCCCCCTCGCCCCATCCCCTGCCCGCCACACTGCTGTTCTCTGCTCAGCCAGAACCATCTGCTTCTGCAGCAGCAGTGCCAGCGGTAGCAGCAGCAACAGTAGTAGTGGCGGCAGCAGCAGCAGTGACAATAGCAGGAGTTACAGAAGAAGAATCATTGGCAGTTTCGGTACCATCAACAACAGCAGTACCAGAAGCAGCTGCAGTGTCTGCTCCTTCCTCTGCCCCTTCCTCCACCCCTTCCGCTGCTCCATCCTTGTCTCCCCTGCCGGTTGTTACATCATCATCTGACCCGCCTCACCACCAGCCATCTCTCACCACTGCCATCTCACAACCCATTCTAACTCCCCCTCCCCCATCCATTCCTTCTCTACCTGTCCGCCCCTCCTCGCCTCCCCGCCCCGCCTTTCCCTCCTCTGCCTCCTCTCCCGCCCCCTCACTCCGCCCCTCCCCCTTTCCCCCCTCACCTTCCTCCAAACCCCCATCCCTGCCCCGCCCTTTCCCTCCCTCCAGCCCCCGTTCCCGCCCCTCTTCCCCTTCCCTCCCCCGTCCCTCTTCCCCCTCCTTTCCCCACCCCCCGCTCTCCCCCTCTCCCTCCCCCCGCCCCTCCAACCTTCGCACTCTATCTCGCCGGCGCCCCCCTTCCCCCCCAATGCCCTCCCCCTCTTCCCGCCCCCGCGCCCTCCGCCCCCTCACAGTGGTAGCAGCTGCCTCGGAAGGCACCTCCTACTCCCCCCGCGCCTTCCCCATCCTCTCCCCCTCCGCCTCCCCTCGCACCCGCTCCGCCTTCTCCCCGTCCTCCTCCCCTCCCTGCTCTCCCTCACTCTCCTCCGCTCCTCCTCCCTCCCAGACCTTCTCACTCCCATCCTTTCTCTCGGACCGCTACCTACCCTCCTCCTCCTCCACCTCCTCCTCCTCACCCATTGTCACAGGCACACCTGCTGCTGCTGCCTCCTCTGCAGCGGATTCCGACCACCCTTTCCCCACCCAGCCACCTTTGCTTGTGCTGGACTTTCCACCGTCTTTAAACCCTGCAAGTGATTCTGAAAAAGTACCAGGTGAACCTTCAGGTGAATCTTCAGGTGGGATCCCCTCGGCTACGCGTCGGCCTATACTCCCACCACTCCCTGTGCTGGAGCCTCAGCAGCCAGCGTCAAAGGCTCTCCCTCCTCCTCCGCCTCTTCCTTTGCCTATCTCTCCCCCCTCCCCTGCTCAGCCTGAGAAACAAGCGCTCACTAGCAGTGATGGCATGGCGAGCAGCAGCAGTAGCAGCTGCGGCGGCGACAGTGACAGCAGCAGCACGACAGAATCACCCCTCATATTGTTCTCTCCTGGCCAAACGCCTGGAGAAAAATCACCTGAGGATGAATCACCTGAAAATGAATCTGAAGATGAATCACCTGAAGATGAATCACCTGAAGATGAATCACCTGAAGATGAATCAACTGAAGATGAATCACCTGAAGATGAATCACCTGAAGATGAACCATCCTCTACAGCAGCAGCAAGAAGCAGCAGCAACAGTGATGTTCACTCTGTTGACCCTGTTTGCCCTGTTGACTCCTTCAACTTTGCTGGCCCGGTTGACCCCATCGATCCTATTGGTCCTGTTGATTCCATTCACCCCGTTGACCCTGCTGCCACCCTGCTGTTGGCTGCTGTGCCTGCCTGTGAGCCTGCCGACACAGGAGAGGAAAGAGGTGGAAGCAAGGGAGAGGAAAGAGGTGGAAGCAAGGGAGAGGAAAGAGGTGGAAGCAAGGGAGAGGAAAGAGGTGGAAGCAAGGGAGAGGAAAGAGGTGGAAGCAAGGGAGAGGAAAGAGGTGGAAGCAAGGGAGAGGAAAGAGGTGGAAGCAAGGGAGAGGAAAGAGGTGGAAGCAAGGGAGAGGAAAGAGGTGGAAGCAAGGGAGAGGAAAGAGGTGGAAGCAAGGGAGAGGAAAGAGGTGGAAGCAAGGGAGAGGAAAGAGGTGGAAGCAAGGGAGAGGAAAGAGGTGGAAGCAAGGGAGAGGAAAGAGGTGGAAGCAAGGGAGAGGAAAGAGGTGGAAGCAAGGGAGAGGAAAGAGGTGGAAGCAAGGGAGAGGAAAGAGGTGGAAGCAAGGGAGAGGAAAGAGGTGGAAGCAAGGGAGAGGAAAGAGGTGGAAGCAAGGGAGAGGAAAGAGGTGGAAGCAAGGGAGAGGAAAGAGGTGGAAGCAAGGGAGAGGAAAGAGGTGGAAGCAAGGGAGAGGAAAGAGGTGGAAGCAAGGGAGAGGAAAGAGGTGGAAGCAAGGGAGAGGAAAGAGGTGGAAGCAAGGGAGAGGAAAGAGGTGGAAGCAAGGGAGAGGAAAGAGGTGGAAGCAAGGGAGAGGAAAGAGGTGGAAGCAAGGGAGAGGAAAGAGGTGGAAGCAAGGGAGAGGAAAGAGGTGGAAGCAAGGGAGAGGAAAGAGGTGGAAGCAAGGGAGAGGAAAGAGGTGGAAGCAAGGGAGAGGAAAGAGGTGGAAGCAAGGGAGAGGAAAGAGGTGGAAGCAAGGGAGAGGGAGCCCTGCCTGCTGCTGCTGCTGCTGCTGATGGCACAGTGGCAGGGGCAGGGGCAGCAGTGGTGTGTACAGCAGACACAGGAGAAGGTGGTGACAGAGGGGGAGATGAAGCACTGCCTACTGCCTCTCTTGCACCCCCTGCATCTGCTGTCCCTGCTGCCCCTGCTGTTGCGGTTGCCGGCACAGCGGCAGTGGGAGCAGCAGCAGCGGTTTTTGCTGCTGCAGTGGCTGGTGCGGGCGGCAGCTCGCCTGAAGTGGAGGGTAGGAGGGAGGAATCAGACGGTAGGGAGGCAGTGGAGGGAAGGGAGGAGAAGAGTGGGACAGACCAGTCTGACAGGGCAGAGGGGCGAGTGAATGGAAGTGAGAGGAGTGGGGAGGGCGATGAGAAGGGGAGCAGTATGCCTGCCATGGTGGCGGTACCAGATGGTGCCACCACGGGAACAGCAGCGACGGTGACACCACTTGCGACCTCCTTGGAGGCTCCTTCTCTGTTGGTGGAACCGGGCGTGTTAGCACCTGCCTCAGCAACATTGCCCAGGCCAATGGTTGCCACTGCAGCTGGTGATGGCAGCGGCATGGGGATGGGCAGTGGCATTGAGGAGGCTGAGCTTACTTTCAGCACCACCATCGCCCATGCTAGCAGTGGCAGCAGCAGCAGTGCAAGTGAGGGTGCAAGTGTTGCAAGCAGCATGACACCAGCTGTCTCTGCGGAATCTGCTCCCCACATGCCTCTCTTCCGCCCCAAGGCCCCTCCTCCCCTCCCGCTCTCTCCTCGGCCCCTGTCTCCCCTGCGTTCCAAGCAGTACCTTGCGCTCTTCTCCTCCCCTCCAATGTCCCCGGATCTAAAAAAGCAGCAGCAGCAACAGGCAGCAGCAAGGAGGGTGGACTCTCCCCCTCTCTCCCCGCAGCAAATGTCTGCTCTCTCGCCGTCACCTCCCCGTTCCCCCCAGCAACCCCCTGGCGTGCCTCGCTCCATCTCCCCCCACCGCCACCGCTTTGCGCTCTCTGCCTCCTCTGCTCTTGCTGCCTCCGCTGCTGCTGCCACCGCTGCTGCTGCTGTCCCTGCTGCTGCCACCGCTGCATCTGCCATTGGTACCACTACTTCTGCTTCAGATGGGGAGAATATGTCAGGTACGAGACCGGCGAGAGCATCGGCAGCTGGGTGTGACGTGGCAGGTCTTGCGGACGTGGCAGATGATGCTCACGTGGAATTTTCCTCTGATGCCGCCAGCAGCGCAGGTACCCCTGCAGTGGCTGGATTGGGCCTGCGGACAGTGTGCTCCGGTGAAGTGGAAGAGGAGAAAGAGAGGGAGGAGGGAGAGGAGGGAGAGGAAGGAGGGGAGGGAGAGGAGGTAGAGGAGGTCGAGGAGGGGGGAGAGGGAGTGGAGGAAGAGGAGGATGAATGGAAGGAGGGCAACAGAGGGGAGCAAGGGCAGGAGCAGAAAGGCTCTACAGCCTTTGTGGCGGTTCCTATCCCTGTCCACACTAGCCCTGATGACCTCTCCACTCGTGCCACGTCCCCCGCTCCTGCTGCTGCAGCAGCAGCGGCGGGTGGGGTGCGGGATATACAAGGGCGAGTGAAGGGTCTGGCGTCCATGTTTGAAGCCAAGTGTGAGTGCCGCTGGGCCAACTTGCACCTTGCTATTGCCTGTGCTGTTGTCTGTATTTGCACCAATGCCCTGCGATTGTGTTCATCCCTCCCCTCTCCACTCCCCTTTCCCATCTCCCCTCTCCTCTCTCCCTTTGCCCCTCTCCCCTCCCCCCTCGCCCTTCGCCCTTCGCCCCTCCCCCAATCCCCCCAATCACCCCACCAGTGGCAGCCAAGCATCAGAAGCAGGCAGCGCCGCTGCCCCTCGCCACCACCACCACCACCACGCCTGCCCCTACTGCACCTTCCCACACCACCTCCCACACGCCTTCACCGCTCACAGCTTCCCCAACGGCTACCACCCCAACGGCTACCACCCCAACGGCTACCACCCCAACGGCTACCACCCCAACAGCTACCACCCCAACGGCTACCTCCCCCACAGAGCCTCCCCCCACAGAGCCTCCCCCCGCAGAGCCTCCCCCCACAGAGCTTCCCCCCACAGAGCCTCCCCCCACAGAGCCTCCCCCCACAGAGCCTCCCCCCACAGGGCCTCCCCCCACAGGGCCTCCCCCCACACTGCCTCCCCCCACAGAGCCTCCCCCCACAGAGCATGCCCCCACAGAGCCTGCCCCCACAGAGCCTCCCCCCACAGAGCCTCACCCCACAGAGCCTCCCCACACGGCGCCCCCGTTGGCAGCAGGCCCTCAGAAGCAGCAGCAGTGGGGGTGGTCGTCCCTTCTCGCCATGGCCTGGCGCCCCTCCTGGCGCTCTGCTCAACCCCCCGCTCCTGCCTCCGAACCTCCCACCTCCGAACCTCCCGCCTCCGAAGCTCCCACCTCCGAACCTCCCACCTCCGAACCTCCCACCTCCGAAGCTCCCGCCTCCGAAGCTCCCACCTCCGAAGCTCCCACCTTTGAAGCTCCCACCTACGAAGCTCCCGCCTTCAAAGAACCTGCTTTCGAATCTCTCATATCCGAACCTCCTGCCTCCGAACCTCCCTCTTCCGAGGCTTCCACCTCTGAAGCTCCCCCCTCCGAAACTCCCGCCCCCGAAGCACCCGGCTCCCAGGCTGACGTTGCTGGCAGTTGTATTGATACTATTGCTGCCCCAACTGACAGCCCTTCTCCCCCTCCTGCTGCTGGCGCTGCTACTGTTGCTGCCGCTGCTGGTGCTGCTGCTGCCGCTGCCGCTGGTGGTGTTGCAATTGCTGCTGCTGTTGCCCCTACTGGTGATGCAGGTGGTGCTAGTGGTAGTGAGGATGATGTGAGGAGTGCAGGTGGAGGGGGGGGTGCAGATGGTGAGGAGAGAGAGAGTGCAGGTGATAGTGGGGCTGCTGCAGGTGAAGCGGGTAGTGGGCGTGAGAGTGAGGATGAGGGGGAGGTTGTGAGTGACGGTGAGAGCGAGGTCGCAAGTGAGGATGTGAGTGAGGATGGGGGAGTTGAGAGGAGATATGAGAGTGAAAGAGAGGGAAAATGTGTGAGTGAGGGTGAGGGGGTTGAGAGTAAATACGAGAGTGAGGAAAACGGGGAGGTTGTGAGTGAGGGTGAGGGGGTTGAGAGTAAATATGAGAGCGAAACATTCGGGGAGGTTGTGAGTGAGGGTGAGGGATTTGAGAGTAAGTATGAGAGTGAGGAGGGTGAGTTTGTGAGTGAGGGTGAGGGGGCTGCAAGTAAGTATGAGAGTGAAGGGGAGAGAGACGTTGTGAGTGAGTACGAGAGTGGGAGAGAGACTGGGGGCGAGGGTGGGAGTGAGAGCGGGGGAGAGATGGCTGCTGCAGTGCACACAGAGCGTGAAGCTAAATGGAGAGAGCATGATCCCAAGTGGACAGAGCCTCAGCCGGAGCAGCTGAGCAGCACAGAAGGAACCGAAATGCAGGGAGAGTTTGCAACAAGGGCAGATGCAGAGACAGAGGTCGAGGGCGAGGGAGAGGCGGAGGCAGAGGGAGAGGAAGAGACAGAGGATGAGGGAGAGGCAAATGCAGTGGCAGAGATAGATAGTGAGATAGAAGCAGAGGGAGTTGGAGAGGGAGAGGCAAGGGCAGAGGCAGAGGGGGAGGCACGGGAAGAGGCAGAGAGCGAGGCAGTTAGACAGGAGGTTTTAGAGAATCACTCCGAAGGGGGGGTGGATGAGGAGTCAGGGAGGTGGGCAGGAGAGGAGGCGAGGGAAGCGGGGCAGGAGGAGGAAGGCGGAGCGAGGCAGGGAAGGCGTGACGAAGAGGATGGTTCAACGACTGAGGCAGCTGTATTGCTGTTGCAGGAAGATCTGGGGAAAGCGCTGGAGGCTTCAAGGGCTGTGCTTAGTGGGAGTGATGAGGAGAGAGAGGGGAGGAGTGAAGGGGAGCGGAGGGGAGGAGGAGAGGAAGTGGGGGTGATGGTGCAAGGGGAAGGAGGGAGAGATGGGGAGGAGGGGAGTGCAGAGGTGGAGGGGGTGGCTGTGGGGGGTGTGGAAGCTGTGGAGGAGGAGGAAGAGGAAGAGGCCGACGGGAGAGGGGATGAGTATGGGAGGGAAGATGACGGAGAAGCGGGGGAGTGCGTGTCTGAGGCAGCGAGCTCTAGTGACAAGGAAGCTGACGTGAAGGGTGATGTGGAAGCTGACGTGGAGGGTGATGTGGAAGCTGACGTGGAGGGTGATGTGGAAGCTGACGTGGAGGGTGATGTGGAAGCTGACGTGGAGGGTGATGAGGATGGTGTAGTGGAAATTGATCCGGAAGATGACATGAAACTTGATTTGGGAGGAGAGGAGCTGGACGTGGGTCAGCTGCAGCGGGATATCGAGGCAGTTCTTAAGGAGGCTTTTAAATTGAAAGGGAAGGGGTTGGATGGGGTGTGGCGTGTGACTGTGGTGCGAGATGGCAGTAAGGAGGGGAGCGTGGTGGAGGTGGATGCTGGGGAGGTGGGTGTGGGGGAGGTGGGTGTGGGGGAGGTGGATTTGGGGGCGGACGCTGATGATGAGGGGGAGGATGATTCAGAGGAGGAGGAAGAGGACGATGATAGCTATGCTGGGGAAGAGGATGAGGACGAGGAGGAAGAGGAAACGGATGAAGAGGAAGAGGAGGAGAGCGAGGAGGAGAGTGGGGAGGAGGAGGGGTGTGTGGGGGATAAGGCGAGGTCATCAGAAGCAGCTACAGTGCAGGCAGGATCAGGGCCTGCCATACCCGTCTTGGCTGCTCGTGCTGCAGATGTAGCAGTGGCGGCGAGAGAGGGGGGGGAGACGGAGAGCAGTGGGAGCGAGGAATTCGCGGATGCACGGGGTGCATCAGGGGATTCAGGGGGGTCAGAGGGTCGTGGAGATCTAGGAAAGGGAGAGGAGGAGGATGAGAGCGAGGGGGAGGAGGCAAGGGGGCAGCAGCAGTACCTCCCCAGCCTGCACAGCCAACCGCCCTCCTTGCCTCCTCAGACATCCTCCCTCGCTGCTGTTGCTGCCTCCACTCCTGCTGCTGCTGCCCCCAGTGCCAGCGACAGTTGTGCGCCTGTCACCTCCTCCCCACCTGTTGCTGCCTCCGCCTCATTCCCTGCACTTTCCTACCCTCCTGAGCCCCCCCTGCCGCTTACTCACGATACTCTCCCGCATGCCTCCTCCAACTCACCACCCCTATCAACCGCATCACCACCACCTGCAGCAGCAGCCGTAGCAGGAACCGCAGCAGCAGCCGCAGCAGCGGTGGTAGCAGCAGCGGCAGCAGGGGTGGCAGCATGCAGTCAATTTGAGGAGGGCTCTGCCAACACAGGCGATGCTGACAGCACTGGGAGCGCTGAGAGCGGTGAAGGCGTGCGGGCGACTGGCGGTGGTGAGAGCAGAGTGGGTGTTGACGGGCCTGGTGGCGCCATTGAAGGCGCCACGGATGAGCAACGCACCGAGGAGGATAGAGTCTGTGTTGACGGCATGGGCGGCAGTGACAGAATGGCTGGCATGGCTGGCATGGGTGGCATGGGGGGCATGGGTGGCATGGACAGCACGGGCGGCATAGTGAACATTGAGGATGTGGTGGACGACGGTGCCTCTGACAGCTCCTCTGCATACCTCTATCACGACGCCCACATGGATCGCTTCAGCTCCGCCTCCTCCCTGCGCTCCGCTTCCTTCCGAAGCACCACCTCTTTCCGCAGCACTGCCTCTGCTTTCGATGACGCTGCCTCCTCCTTTGATGACACAGCCAGCACCATTGCCGGCTACCAAACCCCGCCCACCTTTCCGCCCTCCCCCGCCTACTCCTTTTCCTCCGCCCCCTCCCCCTCCCGCCTCTCCCTCACCTCCCGCTCCTTCTTCCCGTCCCCGTTCCCCCCGACCCTCTCCACGCCGCACCTCTCTCCCCCCGAGTCCCCTGCCTCTGCAGCCTCGGAAGCACTCTACTCTGCTCGGGAATACTTCACCCCGCGCGCCCAGTCCCCGTCTGCTGCCTCTCTGCGCTCTGACCAGCGCTTCTTCAGCAGCCCGGGCGGCACTGACGGCTTTCACACGCCTCTTCATACCATGCAGTCGCCGTCTCCCCGTGCCGGCCTGTACCTGCCCTCTCCCCGTGGCACTTTGCGTGCTCCTTCCCCCCGTGGCAGTTTGCGCTCTCCTTCCCCCCGTGCTAGCCTGCGCTCACCCTCTCCCCGTGCTGACCTGCGTGCAACAGCACAGCGAAGCGGCTTCCACACTCTCACTCCCCACTCCGCTCTCCGCTCCCTCTCCCTGCAGCCCGCTCGGCCTTCCTTCGCCGCTGCCAGTGCTGCTGGCGCTCGCAGCCTGGCGGACAGTGGAGGAGAGACAGGAGGTGGAATAGGAAGAGAAGAAGCAGAGGGCAGGGATACCAGCAGGGATATTGGCCGGAATGTTGGCAGGGATGGGCAGCAGCAGCCGGACCAGCAGCAGCAGGACTTGGGCCAGCAGCTAGGGGGAGGGAGGATGGCGGCAGAGGAGGTGGAGGTGGAGGAGAGCGAGGATAAGTTTGTGGTGGCTGAGCGGCCTGCTGCTGGTTACTCGCAGCCCGTGCAGCAGGAGCAGCGACAGGCGGAGGGGGGGAGGGAAGAGGAAGAGACAGAAGAGGAGGAGCAGAAAGAAAGCATACCGCAGGAGAGGATTATTCCAGCAGCAGTTCCAGCCGTGGTCGCTGCTGTTGTTCCCATCCTGAACCCTGACGCCCCATCCTGTGACCCCACAGCATCTGAACCCTCTCCCTGCAACCTCTCTGCTGCTGATGCTGCTGCTCCTGACTCGGCTGCTTCTGGAGAAGACGCCAAGTGGAAGCTGCCTGGAAGGAGCCTGTTTGGTCTCTTTGCACGAGGCGCCGGTGGGAGTGCCAGCAGACGCACTGGGGGGACAGAAGATGTGGCGGAGGAAGGAGTGGAAGGTGTTGGGGAGAGGGAGACGGGCAGCGGTGATCCGAGAGGGGTGGAGCACGAGGATGAGCTTGAGAGCGCTCGGGTTGGGGTGAGGGAGGATGACGTGGTGGCAGGGGATACGTTGGGCAGAGTGGATGGTGGGATGGCGTTGGGGAGAGCAGAGGGGGAGGAGCAGAATGAGGATGAGCCTCGGGAGGAGGAGGAGGTGAAGGGAAACAGCGATGAGAGGAGACCAGAAGAGGAGCTGCAGATGGGAGAGGGGCAGGGGGAGGCAGAGGAGGAACGGGTGGAGGTGGTGGAAGGGTCAAAGAGTGCAGCTGGAGGGGTCATGCTCAAGGGGAGTGGCAGTGCTCCCTCTGTGTCTGCTGCAATGGCTGCTGGTGCTGCAGCGGCGGCTGCTGCTGCTGCTACTGCTGTTGCTGCTGCCACTCTTCCCAATCATCCCCCTGCTCCGCTCTCCCCACCTCCTTTAGCCTCATTCGATGCCCCTGTGCCTGCTTCTGTGCTCGACCCACCACAGCAGCACTCAGCAGCAGCTCTGCCTTGGCGCCAGCAAGCAGCAGCAGCAGCAGCGGAGAACAGGGCACAGAGGCGAGCAGCAGAGCAAGAGCAGCCCCGGCACGAGCAGCAACAACGGCATATGGCACTGCAGCAGCCACGGCAACAAGAAGTGCCCGATGTGCAATCCTCTGCTACACGTAATCCACTGCTTGCAGCACCAGCAGCAAAAGCAGCAGCAGCACCAGCAGCACCACCAGCAGCACCAGCAGCACCACCAGCAGCATTACCAGAATCACCACCAGCAGCAGCGCCAGTAGCAGCAGCACTGGCAGTGCCACCAGTGGACGAATTTCTTCTGAGGCGGCGTCGCAGAGATGCTCTGATGCAGTTCTCCCGCTCCTCTAACACCTCCCGCCCTCCCCTCTCCTCCTCTCGCCCTCCTGCAATCCTCCCCACCTCTGCCGCTGCTGCTGGGACCGCTCGGGCTCGGCTGCGGCCTGCTGTGTCCATCGGCAGTGCTGCTGCCCCAGCTGCTGGGGAAGCTTCTCAGCTCGCCTCAGCGACCCGTGAAGGCCCGAGGACAGGTGCAGTGGGCGCAGCAGGAAAGAGTTCTGCTGCTGGCAGAAGTGGCGGTTTGGATGGGTTGAGAGGTGCAGAGGAGTCGGTTCCTGGTATGGAAAGGATTGGGGATTGGGAAGAGGGTGGCGAGGAAGAGGAGGGGGAGGTGTTGCAGGGGCTGCGGGTGAAGAACCGGCAGGGCGAGTGGGAAGAGAGTGAGGACTTCAGGCCGCAGTGCTTGCAGCAGCCACAGTGCATGCCTTCCCTGCACCTGCCCCATGAGGGAGGGAGCACGGCGGGAGGTGCTGACGCAGGGGGGAAGCGAAAGCACGGTGGCAGACGGGAGCACGAGACCAGGCGGACTGATGAGGATGATGATGACTCGGTAAGAGAAAGGGAGGTGTGTGGGTGGAGTCATAAGCAGATGAGATCACAACATTCATAAGTTCACATCACGTAAAGAGTACCATGCCTCATGAATGTCATGTAGGCATCCACTCTGCCTCTCTTTGTGTTCCTTCCACATGCTCCATTCACTCACGATTTGATTGTGTCACATGCCACATTGCACTGGTGGCAGGAACCGGAGGAGCAGGTGCTGAAGCACCGTGGGGCTGCCTCCTTTGCCTGCTGCTTCCGCCCAGCCGTCAGAGACTGATGGCCACGCCACGGCAAGAAGCTGAACGCCTCAGTTGTTGGTCTTGACTTGAGATGTCCACCTTGTTCATGTAGAACAGGTTACAAGACACTGTTTGGACACGTGGAGAGGACAGCGTGTATTATATATATGGTACAAGTGAAACCGGTTAGGCTGATGCCCCTAGCCTGTCTGTTGTATTCAATTATTAAGATACTTCACCTGCATTCTTGCTTAAGTTTGCCTAGAGTGACAAGAACCGTATTTTCCCGTATATAGGACCCTCCGGAATAACAGTCCCATGGGTCTTATATGTGGGGGGGTGGTACGCTTATTAAGGACCAATCTGTGAGGACCTCCCTTTTGGTTTTTTTTTTTTTTTGGTGATGCAAGTTTCACTATAATAGTGCATACAAGCATTGACAGTCGTAACTGTAGCTGATGGGCCTAGACAGCAGCCTGCCGTCGTACCCATCCTGACAGCTTAAGGGGGATGGAAAATCGCGCACGGGTTGGCCCAGATGGAGGTGAAGCCACTGGTCCACGCAAGCGACTTTGCCGAGTTGTCACAGATTTTGCTCACCAGACGGAATTCGTCCGGGTCCAACCGCTCCAGGATAGAACGTTGCCCCGGCCCCAGCATGACTCGTGCCCGTTTACTCCCTTTCTTCGCCTGAAGATAGATTCTCACGTGAGTGTAGAAAGCCGCTGCAATCCTTCGCAGGCAGGCCACCCGCTCCAATCACCCTTCCTCCCCTCACCATCAACGGCTCCACTTTATCCAGGGCAAGCACCGCAGTTGCCTCCGCCGCCCCCACCAGAGGCACAGCAAAACAGTCACACGCGTGGCAGACAAGACCATCTTGCACCACCTTCTCTGCTTTCCAGACTCCCACCAAACCCTTTTTCTTTACGAAGGCCGACTCCGCCAAGAATTCTTCCCCCGTGAACGGCGCTATCAGCTTTGCCTTCCAGGCTTCCGGGACGCTAGCAAAAACCTTGAGCGCCCTTCTCGCTTTCTTGCGCGTACCCAGTTCCCTCGTTAGCAGCTCCTCGTTCTTGAAAAAGAGGGCGCCATCCTCCGCTCGACCGACAAAATCACCAAGCTTCAATAGTTCCAGCCCTTTCGCCGTAACCTGCCGTCCGAGTGGCTTTTTCCCATTCGGCAAGATCTGCCGATTGTACATCAGCGGCTCTTGCGCGATGTCCCAGCGCGAGACCAGGCCTTTCTTTGCAACGCTTGACCGCATGAACATTTCGCAGGTCTGCTTCCACCTGACGCTCCTTCCTTTCCATGTTTTCAGGAACTCCGGGTGTGCCCAGAAAGAGCGGAAACCGGCCGGAAGGTCAGCCGCCTTCATCGCCAGCCAACTGCGTACACCTCGTCTGACCAGCACCAGTTTCCCCACCCTTCTAGCGGCCAGGCCACTGAGCTCAACGAAGGGGTCTCGCACCCCCAGCCCGCCGTCCTTCCGAGGTCTGAAAGTCAGCTCCCTGCTCCAGAGCGTGAAGTGGCGCTTCGTCGACGCTCTGTTGCCAGAGATGAAATTGACCAGCAGCTTCATGATCCGCTTCCACACACTGTCTGACGGGGGGTAAACCTGCCCTTGGAATGCCAAGATCGGGCATACATAGGCGTTGACCACCGCCACCCTCGCCGTCGTCGTTAAATGGTGAGACTGCCATTTCACTAGCTCCTCCGCTGCCCTTGACAGTGCCTTATCCCAGGTAACCTCCGCGCTTCCGGACGGGGACACCCAGACCCCCAGCAGCCTTTCCGCATCTTTTTGGTCCACCCATGCGAAGTCTGACCCCTCGCTCTTTTTCTCTTTCAGGTTGGCGCCCAACGGGAGCAGCGCCGACTTGTCCTTGTTAACTCGGAGGCCAGATCGAGCACCAAACTCCTCCAGCAGCTTCTCTGCTTTCTCAATCTGCTTCTTCCCTTTCAGCACGAGCGTCGTGTCATCCGCGTAGCCAAGGTAGGCCAATCTGTCTCCGTGGTCGTCACAGATCCCTAACCTTCTGCGTTTTGCCTCCTGGCAGATCGGCTCCACCGCACACAGGAAGAGGTAGGGAGCCAACGGGCAGCCCTGCCGGACCCCCTTGCGGACGTCCACCCGATCTCCTAACCAACCATTCACCAGCAGCCGGGTGAAAGAGCCGTCGTGCAGCCCCTCACACCACCGGACAAATTTGCTCGGGAAACCCATCAGCGTCATCGTGTCGAACAGGAACGTCTGCGACACAGAGTCGAACGCCTTCTGGAAGTCGATCATCAACAGGTACCAGTCCTCTCTGTCATTGTTTGCGGCCTCTATCACATCAGCAACGGTCGACACAGCATCCGAGAGCCGCCTGCCTGGTAAGAACCCGTGCTGCTCCTCCGAGATGACCATACCTAGCACTCGCTTCATGCGATTAGCCAGCAGCTTCGCGACCACTTTGTAGCAGCTCGACAGTAAGGTTATCGGCCGGTAATTTTGCACCTGCTCTTTTGGCCCCTTTTTGTGTAACAGGATGGTCACCGCCTCCTGCACTTCTTCCGGAAGGACCGCCGAGGATTCAAACTGCTTAACGAAGCCCATAAAATCTTCTCTCAGCAGGTCCCAATGATGCTCAAAGAGCTCCTTCGGTAGACCATCATTGCCCGGTGACTTATCGCACGCCATTTCTTTCAACGCCTTTTTTACTTCCTCCTCCGACCAGTCTGCCTCCAACTCAGATTTCTCCTGATCCCGCAGCATTTTCAGTGGGTCCGGCTTCCAGCAGGGCAGGCCCGACGGAGGCGCCTCCGCGAACAGCTCCGCATAGAAGCGGGAGGTAGCCTCCAGAATGCCTCTTGTGCCTCTCTGCTCTACTCCTTGCGAGGTCAGAGCCGTGATCATGGTGCCGTCTTCTTCGACTTCACCTTCGCCGAGAGTACACCCGATGCAATCTCTCCCTTCGTTTCCTCCTTCACCCCCGCCAAGAGGTGCAGCCTGTCATTCTCCCCTTTCAGGTATGCCGCCAGCTGCGACTCTTTCTCCACCAGGGCCACCCGGAGGTCGTCCCGTTGAGGGTTCCTCATCAGCTCCTGCTGCAAACCGGAGACTGCAAGCTCCAGGTGCCTCAAAGTCGCGCGCACCCGCTTCCGCTCTTCTGCCGCATATCGCCTTAGCGCGGCCTTGAGCTTGGTGAGAAGGCCACCAAAACTGCGTGAAGCCTCCGCATGGTGTTTCTCCGTGATTGCTCTAATCATCTTCTCCACTCCTGGTTTCGCGGTGTCTGCAGATGGTAGCCGCCAGATGCCTGGACCCATGTGAAGTCTCAGACTCGCCTGCAGCACCACCCTGACGCCACACTTATGATCCGAGATGCCTCCCAGCGAACGGGTGTGCACCGCCTTCACCACCGAAGGGAGCAGATCCGTCGACACTAAAATCCGGTCGATCCTGGAGCTTGATTTCGTCGCTCTCGCGTAGAAGGTGTACTCTCGGCCGCTTGGGTTGAGCGTCCTGAACGCATCCACCATGTGCAGACCACTGAACAACTGCAGCATCCTGGCGTTTTCCCCAGACGACCCCCCCCCCCCCCCCCCGGGGACTTGTCCAGGATTGGGTCCTCCACAACGTTGAGATCTCCAGCCAGCATCAGCTTGCCGCTGCAGTTCAGCCCCGACAGGAATGGTCCCAGCTCATCCCTGAAGAAGGTGACTCTGCTACATGCGCTCGCCGGAAGGTACGCCGCAAGAACCTTGAAATTGAAGGTATTAAACATTATAAGACCCCTCTCTTTGGTTTAAAGTGCGCAATTTTCAGGCATTTTACTTTCGCGCATCAGATTGTAGGTGGTAAAAGTGACATTCTGACACGGTCAATGCGTCAGACTCGAAATCTGACGCATTGACCGCGTCAGATCGAAGGGTTGACTAGGCCTTTTCGCGTTTGCTTTTTAGCTGCACTCGATTTTGGTGAAAAAGTCTAACTGTATGCAGAAAAACGGTTCCCTATGAGTAAAATAGATGTATGGGGGTCTTATCTATTTCCATCCTCCATAGTGTTCACCCTAGATTTTTTTAATGAATTTTCATAAAGTCCCCCGGGTCCTATATACGGGAAAATACGGAATGTCAAGGAAATACCGTAATCCCCTGGGCACACTGGAAGTCACGCGACGAAAGCTGTTCCGTTTCAAAAGCAACAAGCCCCGTTAGGTTCCTTCTAGCAGTGCTACTGGTACTGTCTGCAGTCCCTCTCTAGCAATGGCGCGGCTTCCGGCTCTCGACTTGGCGGCTTCCGTGATTTTCGTTCTCCTATGCTGTAAGCCCGTCACGATCTCCTCACCCTCCCTTTCTCGCTCTCAGTGTCTTGCGCTCTCACTGCCTTGCGCTCTTGACCATCCGTGAGGCGACGACGCTCGCTTGGTTATTTATTCCGAGCTCACGGGGACCGCTCGCTGTTGCTGCGCTGACTTTATTCATGTTCCTGTCATAAAATGTAACGTCCGTGGGCTGTGTTAAGGGCACTCCGCTGCGCCAAATAACACCCTCGTTTTGACCCAGTGGGTAGCGAGGTGTTATACTGGTTTCAGAGCCTAGGGTTCGAGTCCTGGCTGGTTCACACTTTCTGCCTTTGGCGAGAACTGGAGTGTGGTTGTAACTAGCTCGAACCCAACGAACGATCTAGAGAGGTCCTTGCGGAGGGGCCGACTTTCTGAAGTTGAGGGCCAACGTGGACGCTGGCAACCAGAGGGGGGACGAGTGTAACGCCTGTGGGCAGTGTGAATGGCACTCCGCTGCGCCAAATAACACCCTCGTTTTGACCCAGTGGGTAGCGAGGTGTTATATAAAACCGGCAGACTTAGATGCAGATTGTTATGAAGGAGACTGTTAGCAAACTTGATGTCCTTCCTGTCCAGCAATCCAGATCCAAACTCTCCTACTCTCTGAACGATGATTCAGCACTGTTGGGAAGGACTGTGCCAAGAAGGGCATGAATTTGCTAATAGGTGAATCGTGAATAATGTTTGATGATTAACACTATATATTGTTATGAAATGAAATACACTCGGCATTCGTATTCGTAATGAAGACGAGCTTTAGAGTATGAGTATGAAGGCGGGAGCCAGATAGAACAGTTAACTGCTGACGTAACAATCCCAGAAGGCATCAGCTACACCAATTTAAGCATCAGGGCTGGTAGCGGTAGCAGAGCAGTAGCAGCGAGCTGCTACTCCGAATACGCCTCCACCAGGTGCAACCCGCACACACACTGCACCACAGGCATGGTGGTGGGCAAGTCCAGCCGCACAAACCTGCCCCCTTCGGCCCCGCCCATACGGCCTGCTTTTGTGCTTCAATGGGCGAACTGGTGGCGAGCAGCGGCAATGGCGTGGAGGATGGCGGAGTGGATGGAGACAGCAAGTAGCAGCGGGGGCTCGCCAGATGCTGGTGGGGTGGGGGGTTGGGGGGGGTGGGGGGGGGGGGAAGGGGGGAGAGTGGGGTAAGGTGTCGGAGCGTGTTTCTTGCCCACTTGTGTGTTGATATTTGATGGTAGGACCCTCATCGGTAGGTGCAATACAAGGTAGGGATGACTGTTTGATGCATCAAGGCTTGGAACACAGTGCTATGCAGTAACAAGAGAGGGCTGTAGAGCGGAGTGAACGACGGAGAAGCAGAAGCGAGAGGGTGGAGAGCAAAGGGAGTGGATGAGGGCAGTGAGAGAGAAGGTGGGGGTCATATTTGGAGGAGAGCACGCCTTGCTTGTTGGCTGTCCCATGCAGGAGGGAGACGGTGTCGAATGACAGCAGCTTCCCGATAGCTTCGTCCACCAGCACCTCTTCCGTGGTGAAGAAGCCCTGCCCCTGCACGAACGCCCCCTCCACCTGGCGAGGGGCAAGGAATGGGGAAGGAGGACGAGAAAGAGGTGAGAAACTTAGAACGAGAATGAATGACTAAGGAATGAAAGTGATACAAATATGAAATCCTAGAATTGTGTACCCCTTAGTATCTAACCCGCTACAGCCTACACAGGCTAGATCATATAAGTTTGACACACCCCCATAGGCAAAGTGGGGGAGAACAAGGGGTCACAAGACCAGTCAAGCAAAGCAAGGCAAAGCAAGCTCAGGGTGGATCACAACGTCACCACACATTCTGAGCACAAGTTCAAGGCCACAAGGCCAGTTCACATGCATGAGTACACACATATATCTAACGCTAAACAAGCAAGAGCAGGTATATATATATGTAACAGTACAAGCAAGGTCAAGAAGTGAGCAAGTGAGGCAAGGTAGGTACAAGACCTAACAGAGTACAGAAGCGCTGATGGTCAGAAGGCGCAAGTGCCTTGGTGAAGATATCAGCAGTGTTGGCCTTAGAGGCCACGTAAGCAAGACGCAGCTGACCGCGCTGCTGCAGCTCACGAGCAAGGAAGTAGCGAAGAGCGATGTGCTTCGTTCTGTGCTCCAGTCTGTGCTCCCGACACAAGGCCAGCATAGCCTTGTTGTCTACGTACAGAACTGGAGGAGAACGAGGCGGCTCTCCTAGGTCAGTCAGCAGGTAGGTGAGCCAGCGTAGCTCCTGTGCAGCCATGGCCCCTGCGTAGATCTCAGCCTCACAACTGGAGCCGAGAACAGAAGACGAGCGGGTAGACCGCCACGAAACAGAGCCGGAACCAAGGCTGAAGGTGTAACCCTGTGACGACCGCTGCGTAGCCTGGTCGTCAGCCCAAGAAGCGTCTGCGTGACCAGTGAGGACCACTGGACTCCGCCCTCCAAGCACAAGCCCCATGCCCGACGTACTGCACAAGTAGCGCAACACCCTCTTCGCTGCAGCCATGTGCTCTGGTCTGTGTCTCCCAGGAGCAACATAGCGTGCCAGAATGCTAAGAGGGTATGCAAGGTCAGGTCGAGTGCAGGTCATCAGGTACATGAGGCAGCCAACAAGCTCTGGGTACGGGCCACTCGACTCTACGGACTCATCCGAAGGCAGAGCTGAGAGCGAGTGGCGAGTAGACAGAGGAGTGGCCTGAGGCGAGGAGTACGTGAAGCCGAAGCGCTGAAGGACCTGCTGCACCATGTGTGACTGAGTCAGGGTAATGGTGCGCTGTGCTCTGTCCCGGGTGATCTGCAAGCCAAGGTAGCTGCGCAGTTCACCCAGGTCTGTGCACGTGTGTCACTTCTGCAGCTCGGACTTCACGTGGGCGAGTCCAGCAGTGTCAGCTGTGGCAAAGACCAAGTCGTCGACGTACACGAGGATGTAGAACGGCGGCAAAGAAGTGTCGGTGCGCAGAAACAGCGACGGGTCGGCAGTAGAAGGAGCAAACCCAAGAGCCGCAAGTGTAGTCCTCAGTGTGTCGTGCCACTCACGAGGTGCCTGGCGGAGACCGTAGACTGGCCGCCGGAGGCTCCACTGGGTACCAGGAGGAAACGACCCAGTGAAGCCAGGTGGGCGGCGCAGCCAGATCTCCTCGTGCAGGCTGCCCTGCAAGAAAGCAGTGCTGAAGTCAAGAGAGTTAAGCTCGTAGTCACGGTGAGCGGCTATGTGCAGCAGTACCCGAAGAGTGGTCATCTTCGGGGTGGGAGAGAAGGTCTGAAAGTAGTCAACTCCCTGCCGCTGACTGAAGCCACGAGCCACGTAGCGCGCCTTGAAGACAGGCGGAGAATCCGGCGGCCGCTTCACCCTGAAAATCCACATGCCACTGACGATGTTCGCCCCAGGAGGGGGAACCTCGTCGACGTAGGTGCCTGTGGACTTCCAGGAAGCCATCTCTGCATCCATGGCTGCCTGCCACTGAGAGGAGTAGGGACCCTAGATCGCCTCCGCGTAAGAGCGCGGAGTCGGGATGTCTGGTGCATCCGGGTCTCCCTCAGGGGCAAGCAGCATGGACACGAGATGAGGTGAAGCAGCAGCAAAGCACTGGAACTCCTCTTGCTTGTCCTCAAGGACGTCCGTGCCAAGGGCACACTCACCCCCGACGGACGGAGGACAGACAGACTCAGACTCAGCGACAAGACGAGCAGCGTAGTCTAGGCGACAGTGAGCAGCGAAGTCGACAAGCTCAGAAACTAAGGCAGACGCAGCAGCGGACTCAAAGGAAGGGTCAGTGACGACAGTAGCAAGGAGACGCGTGACAGTAGGACTGGCAGCACGAAGGGAGTCCGACTCTGGGTCGGCAAGAACAGGAAGAGAGGACTCAGGAGGAGAAGGCAAAGGGGCACGCAGCGGAGCAGTGGAGGGACGCAGAGACATCCGGTGCGTGCCGGGGACAGGGGAGGACGCTGACGCGAACCACGACCACTAGTGCGAGTAGCACGGACAGGCGACACAGGACGAGACGCAGGCTCACGACGCTCAGCAAGACCTCCAGTAGGACCTGTGTAGGGAGAAGGAGCAGGCAGAGGAGAGGTAGGCTGTAACTGTGACTCGGACTGGACAGGCGGTGGACACTCTAAGGGAGGAGACGGACTAGCAGAGGGCGGAAGACCAAGAACCTGCTCAAGGAGCGGAACGAAGTACGGCCGCGGCCGCTCAGCACCACCAGCACCAGAAGGGACAGCACCAGCACCCCGAACGACAGCACCAGCGCCAGCAGCACCCCCAGCTCCAGCAGCGCCAACTCCAGTACCCTCAGAGGCACCAGCACCAGAGGCGCCCTCAGCGCCAACACCCCCAGCAGCTCCAGCTCCAGCCGGACCACCAGAATACGCAGCGGGTCCAGCTCCAGCACCCTCAGTAGCACCGACGCCCGCAGCACCACCAGCTCCAGTACGAGAAGCACCCGCAGGCCCAGCAGCTCCAGTACTCCCAGTACGAGCACCTCCGGGACCCGCGGCACCAGCACCCTCAGCAGCAGCAGAACCTCCAGCACCCGCAGCACCTCCAGCTCCAGCAGCTCGCCTCCAGCGCCGGGCAAACCACTCACGCAGCTCCTGTGGAGAGAGTAGCTCCCGCCGGGACGAAGCACCCGAAGAACCTTCAGGCTCAGTTCCGCCAGACGCCACACGAGCAGGTCCAGTACCCTCAGACTCCGCACCCCCAGACGCAGCACCCCAAGGCTCAGCACCCCCAGACGCAGCACCCCCAGGCGTAGCACCCCCAGGCTCAGCACCCCCAGGCGCAGCATCCCCAGAGTCAGCACCCCCAGGCTCAGCACCCCCAGAGTCAGCACCCCCAGACCCAGCACCCGCAGGCTCAGCACCCCTAGCAGCACCAGAGTCAACAGCTACCTTGACAGGGTCGACTGCGTCTACCTGAGACACACCTGAGGGGGCAGGACCCTGAGGGGGGAGGGGGTCTACCGGAGGGGGACCTGGCGTAAGGAAGAGCGGCGGGGGGGGGGAGGGACGCAGTGCGGTAGGGGAAGAGACGGTAGTAGGGAACCGACTCGTCAAACGTGACGTCCTGGGAGGACAGAACACGGCGCGAGGTGGGGTGGTAGAATTGCCAGCCCGGCGCGTCAGGGGGGAAGCCAAGGAAGACGCAGGGAACAACACGAGGGGACAGCTTGTCCGCAGACAAGTCGCGGACAAACGCCCGAGATCCCCAGACACGGAACGCAGACGCATCGCCAACCTTCCCCGTCCACAGCAAAGTAGGGGAGGTCTCCGGCATGGAGACCCGGGGCTGAAGGTTGATCTGATGCGCCGCGTACCGAACCGCAAACGGCCACAGAAAATGGGGGGCAGCCGCATGGACCATGGACGTACGAGCGACGTCCATGACCATGCCAATGCGGCGCTCAGCAATCCCATTTTGCTGCGGAGAGTCCGGAAGCGTGAAGGTCTGGCGGATGCCTCGTGCACGACAGAAGGCTCGCAGAAGGTCAGAGGAGAACTCTCCGCCTCTGTCAGAGTGCAGACGCAGAACAGGAAAGTCCGAGCCGAAACTCTCTCTGAGCTGGAGACGAGCTGCGCGGATCCAGGCGATCAACACCTCAGTGACCTCACCCTTGCTGCGCAAGGGGAAGACTGCGGTGTAACGCGAGTAGTCGTCAACCACCAGCAGGAAGTAACGCTCGTGACCCTGTCCACGGACGCGGGCTGGGCCCCACACGTCCATGTGAAGCGTCTGCAGCGGAGCCTCTGTCGGAGGAAACTCGGAGGAGTGAGGAGCAGCGCGCTGCCGCCCCTCGACGCAGGGAACGCAGGTGGGGGCAGGCCCCGGAGGAAGGGGAGGGAGGGACCGGGGGAGACCAGAGACAAGGACACGGGAGGCCATGCCTCGAAGACGAGGCAGGGAGGGGTGACCAAGGCGGTGGTGCCAGAGGAGAGTCTGGTGAGACAGGAGACGACACGAGCAGGGGGCAGACTCAGGACCAGACCTGGACCCTGCAGCAAACACCTGACCCGACGCGGCTACCTGAGCAGACTCAGCGACCGGAGGAGACTCAGTAGTCAGTGTGTACAGGCTCGACCCTGGCTGACGGGTAAACGTGGCCAAGTGACGGCCCGTCCGAGCACAGGTACAGTGGGTCACTCGCTGACTCGCAGGAGTGAACTGGTGAACCCCTCCATCCTGGAGGTCAGCACCACTCACCAAGTTCGTAGAGAACGAGGGGAGGTAAAGACCCGACAGGGTGCCAGAAGGGGCCGCCGGACACGGTAGAACAGTGGAGAAGTGGGCAAGGACAGGACCCCCAGAGGGGTCTGCCAGGGAGACTGCCACTGGCCGACTAAGCGGCGTAAGCGTGGTGCAGTCTCGAAAAAAGGAGCGGGAAGCACCCGAGTCAAGGGTGAAGGTGTGGGTGGCCGGAGCCGACGCGGTACCTGAGAGCGCAGACTCACCAGCACCTGGGGCAGCAGGCGCACTGGCACCTAGAGCAGCAGCCTCACCAGCACCTAGAGCAGCAGCCTCAATGCCCGGGTCAGGCGGAAAACACCGGTAATAGTCACCCTCATCACTAATAGTCACAGCATACATGGCAGCAAGAATAGCATCATAGTCAAGATCAAAGATCGGAACACCCGCCCTAATTAGCTCGCCCCAGCGAAGGATCTCAGTAGCGTCGGGGAACTGATGACGCCAAGCGTCTGTCAGGCGGCCGAAGCAGCGCTGGGTGGA